GCAGGATGAGGGAGAACAGCAGGATGAGGGAGAACAGCTGGATGAGGGAGAACAGATGGATGAGGGAGAACAGCAGGATGGGGGAGAGCAGATGGATGAGGGAAAACAGGGAGATGAGCCAGATGAAAGAAGTATGCTTTAGTCTGTTCTGTTGGTGATGTGACTTTTTTCCATTGAAAACTCACGTTTAGAGAATGTTACAAATAAAAGTCAAATTTCATTCAACATGCGTTTATTTTTTTTATAATTAAGTGTTAGACGTGCGCTAAAAAGTGCCCTCCCCCCCCTCCTGAGCACCTGCCCCCCAAAATGTCTGTGCACGCCTCTGGCTTTTAACATTGTTCTTGATTGTTGTTGAGTCTGTATAAAGTTGTACCTGTCGACAGACTGGGGCAAGATGAGCTCATCTGGGTCCTGGAAGGCCATATATCTTGACTGGTACATGTATCTGTAGAGGCAGTCACTAAGAGCAGGCATCTGACCAAAGTAGTGGATATCACCTGGATCCTTATGAGACATAAAACCTCGAGATACATTCAGATATTTTGACAGAGACCAAGGAACCACCTCAACGAAACCTGAAGAGACACAAAATAATCAAATTTAAATCCTCATTACAACAAACTATATCCTATCCTCTTATAATCATTTAAACAGACAGCTATTGCTGTTGTTTATAGATTTTTAAATGGCCTCATCTTTGTTCTCTACCTAAAGATTTTATTACCTCACTGAGCTTTCAGCATAAACACATTCCATGGTAAAGAAGCCTGGGCACAAAGAGTTTGGCATTTTTTGAATAAAATTTTACAGCAGGGATGTTCAAGGTGTGGCCGAGGGAACATTTAAGCCCTTGGTTTGATTTTGTGCAGACATTGAGCACGATTCGAGAATGGCTCCTTAGGCCATTAAAGCAGATACACATTTATTTTAAATACTATATTTGAATGCAGTATTTTAAAAAGATATAGAAATATCAATCCTTTTAAGGTGAGAAGTATACGGAGCAGTAAAACATATTCACCCCTTATCAACATATTGTTGCTTTAAGTGTCATTCAATAGTAAATAGGACTTTAAAATCCAGTGACTTCTATTATCGGTGTATTTACAGCAAGAAAGTCCTTTGGTCCAAACCAAAGCCAGCGTTTCTTGTTTCTCATTGCACTGTTTAAGTGAACTATAACTTTTAGACAAAGTGACAATTGTTGGACTGCTTAGATAGATGTGACCATACACTCAGAAATAAATTATTCACTAAATTCCTGCATCCATGTGCTGTTGTTGCACGATCATTGGGTCAATAGGAGCTCAGTCAGTGCAGGTCAAGTAGAGGTTTATTTTGAAACAGCACCATTAAACATGCTCTTGTGCTGAGGATCAGGTAAAACTTCAGGAAAGGTTTATGTTTCCTGTAGTGTTATCAGATTGCGGCTGGTTTTTTATTCACACCAAATGTAAACTGTACCAGAGTCTGACAGGAAGTGGAGCGAGGACATGTCAAAAGGCGTGTTTTTTCTTTTCTAACTCTTTTTAACCAAAGTCACACATCTGCACAAAGGGTCAGAACCAAAACATTAATAAAGATGTGCAGATCCATTTTTAACAGAAATCAGACTACTTTGCATGTTTCAATAAAAAAAGTGTTTTGTTCAGATTTTTCTTTTAATTCAAAGTTTACAAAAAATAATTGTTTAAGTTAAAAATTTAAAGGTGATAATTACAAGTTTAACTCCTCTCGGACAGTAAGTGGCGCTCTGTGTTGCTTCTGAGCCCCATTGCTTCATTAAATCACCATCAATGCTCAAATGCTTGACTGATGTTCACCCTTATTTGAACTCTTATTTGTTTTATTTTTTTTTTTGGCTTGCATCTGAGGAATGTAACCCAGTCATTGAGCTGCTAGGATCTGAAGACACCTGAGCTCCTTCAAACAACCTATTATTCCTATTGGTGCAGAAACCTTCACCATCAGTGTTTGCATCATAACCAGAAGGAAATATGGAAGTTCTGTGGATGTATATTTTTTAAAGGATTAATCTTGACCTTTTAAATACTTTTTCCCCTTCTGTACATGCCCTTACATTTCCCTGACTTGTAAATCAGTTTCACTCTGGTTACCAGAGTTGGCTCAAAGCTCCTTTTGTCAGTTAATGAAACATCAGGTTGTGCCTTCAAGGGTGTATCACACTGAGGCATCTTGTTTATCTGGTTACTTTGGTTAGTCTCAACCGTTGGCATGATGGCAAGATACCTTTGATGTACCGGTAACTTTCCTACCTTAGGAGGCTTTAGGTCCCTAAACAACAGACATGTCCAGACTACATTACTTTATTTCAACTTGTCACCAAATAGAAAGATATTCTGCAAAAACTCTGGAACTTGTACTATGCTCCTTCAAACAGCTCAAATGTCTATGGTCCCCAAAATAATTTGAGTTGTAAATGCAGATCTTCCATAAATATGTTGGCCCCATTAAAAATTAAAGAATTCTCCAAAATTTTCCACAATGAGCCACAAATCGTAACATTTTAAAAAATTAAGAATCTTTTTTTTTTTTTTTGCACCCAAATACATGTAATATTTCACTGACACAAACAGCAAAAATTAAAATACTTTAGCTTTGATAAGGGACCTCAGATGTCTGTTTTCATAAAATAAAGGCGTTCATGTTTTTACATTTTTGACCAAATGTTTCCTCTTTTGTTGTTCTACAAATGTTTTATTTCTAGCCAAAAGAAAGAGCTTCATTTAAAAACCCTCCCTGTATTTAGCAAAGTGAATAAATGCAGCCATTATAAAATAAAGATTCACTGGATGTTTGTGGTCCTACTTGCCACAAGAATAAAACAGTAAAGATATGCATAGCTGAAATAATATAATTTGTTGTGTTGTAGTGAATATTTTCTATTTAAAACAAATAAAACTGTCTCTGAAATTCGAATATGAAAACATTATAAAAAGGATCCATCTGCATCAGCTCTATTTCCAATAGGCTTCAATTTGTATCATCGCTGAACTGCAATCAAAGGCCACAAAAAAAGTCACATCAAGTGCCACAAATAGCACCTAGCTTTGGAAACCTTCTTCTTTACAAAATAAGAATTAAAAGCCGAATATCAAAACAATCAATACAGGCAGCTTTATGTAACTTTTATTACAAGAACCTGCTCCAGAAATTTAACCGACAATTTGGGAAAAACTATTTGGTCAAAGTAAGTAAAATCAGGCCGTTAATGCAAATTAAAAAGTCCAATACCAACCTTTGCTAGCGTAGTAGTCCAGCACACGCTGAGTCTCCTGGCTGCAGCTGGTCTTGTAGATGACAGCTTTATTCACTCCCAGTAACTGAAGCATCTCCAAACTCTGCACCAGCTGCAACACATGGGAGGCTTTCAGGTTCTACACTGGAAAAAATATGGATGCCAGAGAGCGCTGGGCTTTTGGGTTCTTGATATTTATTGGTAGAGCAGACAGCTTTCAATCATGTAAAACACCTAAGAGTTGATATTGTTTTACTAAAAGCTTTAGTAAAAATCTATGCAATCATGTTATCTTTATTGTTTTAAAAGATAATGTGCCAGACCTAATGGACCTAGTTAATGATTTTTTTTAATTCACAAAACTGCAGCAAAACTCTGGCTAAATCAGAAAATAAAACAATGTGGATTGGCTTTTAGGAGAGCTGAGACAGAGGACACTCTGAGGTGACTGTAGAAAACCTGCTGCTGACCAGGTTAACTCTGGGGAGAATGATACTACAGTGACTGAAACAGAGGTTGAGGAAGCTCTCTTTATGAAATGGCAAATTCAGTGTACCATATTTCAGGTTTAGAAAAACAGAAGCGTACTCGTGACGTCACCACATACCCGGCTCGTCTGGAGCTGCATTTCACCTCCTCTTATTAATAGTCTCTTGATAACAATAAATTATTCCTTTTTCATTTAGTGGGGGAATAATAATGAACACAGTCAGATAAACTAAAATCAAATTAACATTTTGCCAAATAAAACAAAAAAATCGCCATCAGAGCCAGCGATCCTTCACACACGGTTATGCAGAAAGAGGGCTGCAGCAGACAGGCTGCCGTTAGCCCTGGCTGCCGTTAGCCTCGGAGGTCCTCTGAACCTTAGAATCATTTTTTTTAAATTACGCATTAAAGCGCTAAATGGACCATGTAGTGACGCTTTAAAGTATAATATTCTCGCATTAAATGATCTTAAAACGTACTTTTGAACAACAGCAACAGAAAGGAGAATTTTTAACTTTCATTGGAGCGGTCCATTGAAAGCTGCTGCTGCCGCAGTGCAAGCTTGGACAGCTGTCAATCTCAAGAACGGACAAGTCTGCTTTGATGCATACTCGGTAAATAGTGAGGGGTGAGAACAACATCTGGGGACCGTTTTCGGTCTGCTGTTCTTGTGAATTGGAACAGTGCTAGGGCCGAGGCTGAAGACGTTTTACGAGCACATGAGAACGCACAGGTACACATATTGGGAAACGGCCTCTATTTTGCCGATGGCTCCGTGCCTGTAAAGGCTTCCAGCTGAAGGCTACGGTAAGAAGCAACCAAAACACCTCTGGACAAGTCTGCACCGAGTCAGACTGCCTTTTTCCTGAGATCCAGAAGGAGCTGAACACAGTGTTCCCTAAAGCCTGCTGCAGCAGAGACAGAGATGAGTTAATCCAGCTCTGCTAACCTGAAACTAACTGCAGAACAACGGGGCCCCCAATTGCTGTTCGTCGAAGGAGCCGTTAGAAGCCGCCAGATCATGACTGCCTGAGGCTGAGAGATAGAGCAGCATCCAGGAGCTGCTGGAGACTGCGGCTACAAGCTTACCACCGTAGCTAAAAGAGAGACGTCCCTTCCTACCGTGAGTTATAAAATCAACCCCCTGGCAAAATCGTCTCTTGTTATTGCATTGGATTGATCCAAATCTTTTTGAGCTGCTGTTGGACAAACGGACTAGACAGAGGATTGGGCCTGCAGAGAACCGGACCGTGCCGAAGGCCTTCAGTCCACCGAACCAAAACAGTACCAACCCTTTTCCTCTGATGCCTAATAAGTGCTCTGTTTGGGTGAACTAAAGGTAGAATAGATAGTTGTGTTTGAGTTTTATTTGCAATAAGCTTTCTGATTCAATTCCTGATGGTTTTAAGATTTTAACTGAATGCTAATGCTCACTACATAGACTGAACGAGTCACATGTTGCTGAAGCTAACTGCTAGAGTGAACTGCTGAACACTTTATAGAGGCTACATCCTGAGCTAACCCTCTCTTTGTTTCAGTTGGACCAGACCAGAACCACAACCCCTGAAGCCAGCTAGGCTAACGGTTCTTTCAGCCTCATCGTAGTTTAATGCATTCCTGAGCCATTATTCATTCTTCACCATAGACTGCAGTTTTGACTGCAATTAAGATCTCTGTTTCAGGGTTTATTCACATTTTATCTGCTATTTTTAAAGGACACTTTCAAATGTTTAAAGCCTTAAACTTCGAACATCCCTCATACTTTGAACTGATTTTTAAACAACCCCTATTTCTCTATTTTTGCTTATTTTCAGTAGTGTCAAGTGTTTGCTTAGTTATAAGATGTAATAATGTTTGATTGCAGCTAATGATGGCACCATTGTATTTTAACTGGCAGTCATTTGTGTTTATTTCACACAGTGAACAATTTATCACTCAGGCTGGATCCACTCTACTTTTAGTAGCATCTGAATGAACAAAGATACATTTATTTGGTTGGTGATTAATAACGTTGGCTAGATCAATTTAGAGTTGCGGATTAGAATCTGAGTTTGTTAAACTTGCTTCATGAAATAGACCCCAGATCCAGTATGGATTAGTGTGGCCTTCATTCTGGCCCTCGAACCAGGAAACACATATTTATCCTCCTGCAACTGCTTGTTATAGCAGTGAAGTTGTTCTTCCCACATACACTGTGATTCTGGAGAATGCTTAGTACTTTTTACCTAAAAGCAATTTATGAGTGATGGGAGCATAAGGTGCTTACAAAGCTCCTTAATCCTGATGAAGAATTATAGACCCTCAGAATCATAGACAGGTTTCAGTTATTACAGGCAAACAATGGAAACACACGACCCACTCATTGGTTTCCATTTGCATGTTTCCAAGCAATGCAAGGCCTTGCATATATATAAAGCCTCAAACTCACTGTGGATCCAGACATTTGAATTGAGAAAGCTTCCTGGATGGAAAGCGAAACGTCTTCAAACCTTGGAAGCCAAGTCCAGTGGATTGTTTTTTAAACTTTTACAGAAAACTACTTAATCCCTATGTAACCAAAGCCAGGCAGGCTGTTTTTCAATAGGTTGCTTGTTCTCAGAAAATTCAGACCCGTTTATAAGACAATCATCGAGCCATGCATGTTTAATTTTGGAGTCTTTAGGTCTCCTCTATGCTTTTTGAATAATCCGTTTGCCCTTTAGCATTTTATTCCAGAAACAATACTTGACATTTTTGTTCTTTTTCATCAGCTTTAGATAAGCGATATAGAAGTAAGAGCACTCAATTAAATTTTACCTGCAGAACGTTTGTGAAATCAAACATGACAGAGAAACACACGGTGAAGTTGTAAGGAAATAACTTGGTCTCTTCCTTTTGGTTCTTAACCTGCAGGAATTCATGATCTAAAGATAAAAGAAGAAACAAAAGGAACTTCTGAAGACTAGCCACTCAATAAAGTTAAAAAAGAGGCAGGATTTACAATCAACATTAACCTGCGCAGAAAATAAACTAAAATCCAATCAATACAAAATCAAATTACAGAGATTTAGATACTAAAATATAAATATAGTAAGTGAATTATTATTTCCATCTGTCGGATGAAGGTGGGCTTTGGTCATTTTATGTAAGAGTTTTGTTTTTTTTTGCTCTTAGTATTAAGGTACTTGCTTTGTAAATCCAGGTAACACAAATGAAAGCTTAGTTTGTGTTTTTGTAGAGTGACATAAGTTTTCTAGCACACATATCAAACAGGTATTTAGTTTTTGCTCACGAGCAGGTTAAAACAGAAAAAGGCAATGCTGTGAATTAGCGTTATATATATAAACTGAATTTAAAAAGAAATTGATAACACATCTATCATGCATTGTATTTCATCTACAACTGGGAACATCCAATGAAACTATTTCTGAATTCACCTCAAATTGGACAGCAACTATGTACATCACCTAAAAGCAGAGAAAATGGTAATCTCTGAACCATTACGTTTAGCACATCTTGTACCTTCACTTTTAGAGCCATTTAGGGTAATGGCCACGTGAACTGGTGTTTCACAGCCTGGAGGAAGCGGACACATGATGTCTGCCGTCCCGTATAGATAGCCAAAGAAGTCCTTGTTGAGCTTGATGACACCTTTGGATACGTAGAGCTGTCTTTGGCAGTCTAGGTGGCAGTTAAAGACCGCCTGCTCGCTCCGAGGCGTGATTACAATGACACGAACCTGGCATTACAAGAAGAACCATTACTGGTGCATAAAAAGGACATAAAAAGAAATATCTGTGCTGCTTCTTTGCTCCAAGACACAAACCACAGAGGGATGGACTGAAATGTTTTAGCCCAACTTCCAGGGGTTTGGCTTTCCAACAAACAGAGTTGAAGCAGAGACAAACATTGAAATATTTCAAGATGAATGAGAAAAATTTACTAACAAATAAAAAAGAATTAGCAATGATGGACAAATGGAGGAAGCAGGAATGCATGCATGTTACGTGAGCTCAAGGCATTGCTGCTGAATGCACTGATGAGCCAGTGAATGCATGCATGTATGCAATCACTAAACCTTCAACCACCAATTAGCATAGCCTACTTTGTCATGCCATACATCATGAGAGCTTCATTGTATTGCAATGCAATTTTGCTTAATGTGCCGTTAAGCGAAATTGCATTTGCGTTTCTTTGAAGCACCATGACTGATGAGCGTTTAAGCAAATTGGGTGTACTGGGTGTAGATTTAAAAAGTGTTAGGGCCATAAACCTTTATAACTTTGTGAATGTGTTTGATGAAAAGCACAGTAACAGGCGAATTAAGCTGTTCTGAGGCCTGGAAACCAGAATTTGAGACTATGGATATTTGCTGATAAGTTCTTTTTGTAAAACAAATTATTAATTTTGTTTTACACCAAGAAACAAGCTAAATTTTTCTTAAATTTTTAGAACACTATTGATCATACTGAAACACATGAAATAAAACTAAAAAATAAATACTTTATATTAAAATTCCCTAAATATTTTCAAACAACCATGACTATATCTAAAAACTATCAACCCAATCTAAATGCCCTTGGATCAGTGCTTGTTAAACATAAAGAAAAAACAAAAAAAAAAGGGTCAAGAGAGAGAAAAAAGGTTTTGAAGTGGACCTAAATGAAGCATTTATATTAAAAGAGATCTATATTTAGTCATGAACTTAACGTTATGTTATCAGCAGACCATGTTTACAGAAGGAACAATATATTTTAAGATTATACCGTAAATACTTTTCCAAGCACAACTTGTTCGGAAAAATAATTTCCTTTGGTACATTACCAGTTTGAAAATTAAAGATTTATGGTTTCCCTTAATATTCCTGAAATGCCTGATACGCCTGAAAAATAAACTAAACTTAAATTTAATTAATTCAATTTACTGAATAATGACAAAAAATAATGAAAAAAGATCTATCTTCTGTCACTAATGTTATTTCATTGTAAAAGGATTGAGAAAAACATGACTTTACAAATGACAAAATACTCTGTAAGTTCTTGAAAATATGTGTCTTTTACAAGAGAAAAAAAATGTGTTTAATTTGGTTTCCTAACAGGTTTTAAAAGTGTAGGGTGTGCTAAATGACATCTGATCTACAGGTCTGTTCACACTTATCTACCATCAAAACCCTTTGTAAAATTCATGTGCTGTGTAATTTATAATACATTAAAATCCAAGAATGTTAAAAAAAAATCCATTGGACTTTGTTTCCCAGTTTGAAGACATTTCCCTTCCCAATCAGGAAGCTTTTTCAATGCAAAATGTCAGAAATAGTGTTGAGTTTGAGGATTTACAGAGTGGACCAAACTCAAAGCCTCGCTTTAGCTTAGAAAACATGCAAATCTAAAGGACAAAAACATGCCAATCTTTTCAGAACAGGTGTTGGTCATCAACATGGCTGTCAGTCGTTTCCTGTTGCTGCACGTCTTCCCACCTCTTTCTCTATCAATCCATTTCCTGTCTCACTACTTCCACTAGTATCATTTTCAGAATGTGTCTCTAATGTTAGAAGGTGTGAGAAATTGAAACATCTGATAAATTTTCTTACTTCTTTTACCGCTGTGCGATGCTCCAAATAGGCAGAGACCAGCAGAGTTTTTGCTCCCTTGACCTTCACCAAAGATGCTGATTCTCCTTTAAAAATGACATTAATGTGAAAAAGAAATTATACAGAAGTCTTTGGGGGGCCGGGAAAATCAGTAAAAAATAAAAACAACTTAAAAATTGCACATTTTAAATTAGATTATAAAAGAGGAATTTCAAACTGTCCTAACATTTAAAAAAGGTACCTTGAAATTCCATCACGGATCATGAATATCATTTTATCAAAGATTTAAGAGGTCATTCCCTTCTCCATTTCCATTTTCTTTTTCACTGTTTCATTTTTTTTTACTTTACCTGCTCAAGTTATAATTTCCATGACCCATCAGCTATTTAACCGCTTAGTTTTCATCAAATAATATAATTGTCTCAACCTATCAAGTTTGGATTGAGTTAATAATTAGTTTAGTAAAAGCTTATTAATGATTAAGCAACAGCTTATTAATAGTTTAGTAACACTTTTTAGCAGCTAAGTAACAGCCTATTAACCATTTGTAAAAAATTGATTGACAGCTCATTAACGATTTAGGCAACAAGGGTCACACAAAGACCAAATGGGAAAGGGAAACCTTTAAGAGAATGTGTGGGTACCATTTAATCACCTCTAACTTAATCTTAATTAGTAAGATGTTTCTTCATCACAAAAACACAATGTGAAAAAGAAAAAAAGAATAATGCAAGTGCAAAAATAATGGAAATGTGCTAGATGAAGTAGAGATTAGAATTACCATTTGAAATGAGTAATAAGGAGGATTATTTATAATTCGATTTATGATTTGTGGCTCTTAAATCTCTAATTAGAAATAAGGTTTGAAAAGAAAAGATGTTTTATAACAGTTTAATACATAAACTTTACACATTTTCTATAATATTTTACTTGAAAATGTGCAACTATAAAACAGTTTAATTATAGATTTCTAATTTCATGATAAATATTTTAGGATTTAAATGGTTTTAATCTTTGTTCGGTGACTTTACTGGTCCTCCATAATGCGAATTAAAATATTCAACCCAAACAGTGAAACTTGAGTTGTTTTTCTGTGCATTTGAACAAGAGGTCGAGCACCTGCAGCCAAACATTTAGCTTTCAGGAATCCTAATGAAGGGATTTAAAAAAAAAAAAACATAACCAAAAGACATTTCTCCTGTTAAAGCCTTTAAAAACATTGAGTCGTTTAAAATCCAGTCACCATATTTGTACCTGTCTTTCCTGTTGGCGTCATCGGAGATAAATGATCTTGCACAGACACCTCTCCATCATTGTGGATTTGTTTCTTTTTACCAAAGAAGTGAGAAGTCTGATGGGTCCTGCAGAACAACAAATGATGAGGAAATGTTTACTAAACCATTGTTATTCTCAACCCTTTGTTCTACCGCGGCAGTTCAGTGTTAAGGTTCCAAGTTAATCCATTTTTTTTTATTTACTCAGGCTTCATTTCTGTACTTTTCCATTGTGAGTTTTGTTACCTACTTCCTTGAGTTATGCAAGAGGAGCGCATGAAGAGTTTAATATTAGCATGAATCACGATACCCGTCAGCTATCTTTGAAGGGAAGAAAGTTTCCAAGACCTTTTTAAGACAAAATTCTCAGGACATTTATTTATCTCATTATATTACCGGTATTATAATAATAAAGGAGTTCATTTAGATTCTCCTTTATTATTTTGTTTTTTTTCTTTTGGCTTAAACCATAAATTTCCTGATTCTCAAAAATATTTCCCTTTCTAGCAAACGCCTTAAAGTTATTGATCAGAACTGATGTTAAGAGCTGAACATAATTTAAATTTTCATTTAGTTTAATTTCTTTTGGAAATCAGATTCACTCAATGGTTCTGATGCAAAGCTCTCTGAAAAATTTTCAAGTTGGAAATTTTATCATTTTAAATGCAGATTTAGGAAAAGAAGTTCCAGTTTTGAAGTTAAACAATAAATCATTTCTACCCACCAAAAAGCACAAAATATTTATGTCCTTCTCACCTCTTGACACAACAAAAATGCTCTTTTTTTCAAAGCCATGTTTATCATTTATCACCTAGAACCAGGACACAGCAGCCTTTTCTTTACTTGATTTCAACGCTTCATTTAAACAAATATCCTCCCTAACTTTGTATTTGTTGTATTTGCAGCCCAAAGCATTATGGAAAATGCAAATTGGATGATTGATTACTAATTTAATTTATGAGTCAACAATGCACATTTGCAATCCACATTCTTAAAATGAAAAAGCATTTCTGAAAATTATTTTTCATTTTAAATATGGTAACGATTTGCTTCCATAAAAGCATAAGTAGCAATGAAGAACGTATTAATAGTAACCCCTGCCAAGCCTCTGTCTTTCTTTTTTTTAAATACATGTTGAAGTAGTTAGAGTTGGTCATTTCCACTCACCTGGTTGTTGCCATAAGCAGCAGCAGCAGAAGGACGACAGAAAGGACGAGGTAAAAGAAGAACTGATTCCATTTTTTGGGCAGTTGCAGTTTGAATCTCATTGTAAATATAGGAAGTCAGAGTTTTAGTTAGATTAGATATTAATCCTCATAAGGAGCTACAGAAAGGTGAAAGCTGCCCTTTTCTCTCCTTTCCTCTTCAACACCAGCAGGTGACGTTTTTTCACATGATCATGTTTCTAGTCAGCCCTGTAAAGTACATGTCTGATGGGTGGGACTTTTTTGTGCTTAATTTGTGGAACCTGTTATGCTTGTATTTATTGTTTCTTTTATCTTACTTTGCCCGCAGCATTTTTATCATGGCATGTTTCTGTTTTATACAACCACATCTATTTCTGGACAATGAGCCAATTCCAATCATGTAAGGAACAATCAAAACAAGCAAGAAATGTTAAGCGTCTTTCCAGTTATATTTTCATGAACTCATGAAAAATTCATCTTTTATCATAAAATTCCCCAAATATTCTCAAATAACCAAATTAAATCAAAAAGAAAATGAAGACTCTCACCTGAAACCAAGCTCTTCACCATGAGCCTCTGCTCCAGCCAATCAGTGCACCTCCACCCATTCATATAAGCCAATCACAGTCCTGGACATCCTTACTTCCTGAAAGACATCCCTCCTCTTCNATTCCCCAAATATTCTCAAATAACCAAATTAAATCAAAAAGAAAATGAAGACTCTCACCTGAAACCAAGCTCTTCACCATGAGCCTCTGCTCCAGCCAATCAGTGCAGCTCCACCCATTCATATAAGCCAATCACAGTCCTGGACATCCTTACTTCCTGAAAGACATCCCTCCTCTTCTAATTCTCCACTTTCTTCTCAGTGGACTTGATAGAAGTCTCTCATTTTCTAAATGCTGATTTTTCCATGTTAGTCTCTCCAGGTTGAAATATATGCATTGCACTGTGTACCATGTTACAGGATGTAATTTTCTACATTTTCTATTATTATTATTTTTTTTAATTGCAATTCAAAAACACTTTATCAATCAGTTCGCTAATTAATCATTAATAAAAATTATTAATGGAATGTAATCTCCAGAATATACTCAATATTCTGTCATGTTTGGCTTCAGGTGCGTAACCCACATGCAGAACACTCAGAGGCAGGATAAAAGTTCAAAGGTTTATTGAGAAGTTGGAATACAATGAATAAACAGATCCTAAGGGGAACTCGTCTGGTCACGGGTGGACTCTGAAATGCACACAGAGTAATCAGATCCAGGACTTGGTCACGAGTGGGTTCACTGCAGAGGGGACAGAGGAGTTAGTGGAGGTCCAGGAAATTTGCAGGATGAGTGTATGCAGAGCTGTACCTGTTCTGGGGTTGAGCAGAGCGGCTGAGGGGGGGGAACCTTGAGGGTCCAGAGGCTGTCGGCAGGCTGAGGGCTAGGCGGAGGAAGAGCTTGGTTTGAGTGTTGGCAGATTACAGATTTTGAGTTTCCCTTCCAGTTTCTTCAGAGAGTGGGCAGGCAGGTCTTTGACAGGAAGAATTCTCCAGGGTTCTTCAGAGAACAGACAGGCTGATTGCAGGCAAAGAAACTCTTCAGGGTTTCTGGTTTCAGGCAGATTCAATCTAGGAAGCAGAGAGGAGAAAACAGATCAGGTTCAGGTTTTCAGGTAGTCAGAGATTCAGACAGGCTGGTTGGCTCAGGCTTGCTAACCGTAACTGGCAAACACTCTGGCACTGGAGAGATGTCCTCTGCCTCCTTAAATACAGATCTCCTGATGAGCAGACGAGCGACAGGTGGTGCAATCAGCTCCGGCTCCAGGAGATCTTGTACGCCCTCTGGTGGAGAAAGTGGACAGACCTCCAGATCCCAACATATTCTTCCCTTTTATTTTTTTTAATCATTGAGTTTAAGTATGATTGAGGAGTAATGTCCGAGTTTCATTTATTCATTTTCATAAAATCATTACTTTTGTCTGACTCAAGTTGCTACTGTGAACATTGTGGGTTTTTCTTCAATTAAACAAGGGGTACCAACCATTTTGCCCTTGTGTCTATCTCGTTCTTTGAAGCAAGCTGCTGTACTGAACCTGATCCGACTTTGAAAAAGTGCAGTACGATTGCAAGCAAGCAATAGAGTCAAAGCAATCCCCTTGATATGACTTGGAGAGTCAAAAGAGAAAGAGGTTAGGGTGAAAATGGGTTTTATAGCAGGCTCCACAGGGGGTCTCAGGGCCCGATATTCAATAATCTCATGGCTGTGAAGTACAACATTATGTATATCAGGAAAAATTAACATTCTATATCATGTCCCTTGATTTAAAGGTCCTTTATCACACTTTAAACCTTTTAGAGTCATTTATAGGCATATATATGATGAAACAATGCCTACGAAGATATATCCTTCAATTCAATTCAGTTTATTTCTATAGCGCCAATTCAC